AATCCTAAAAAAGTAAATTTAAAAATATATAATGAGTTTGAAGAATCTGGAGACACAATATAACGTTAACTCGAAAATGAATCATATATTAAAAATATTGAAAACAAAATTTTATCAACATGTCTTCAAACAAAAAAAAACTTTAAATTCAATTTAATTCCATCGATTACACAATTTATATGAATCTATTTAATAAAAAAGAATTTTTTTTTGAATTACTTACGTCAAGTCAAGATCATGATACAAATTAAATTCTGGAAGCGTATTAAAAAGTTTGATACATGGTTCTCTGCTGAAGACTAAAGTAATTTGTTGATTCAAATTTAAAAACCTATCTTACCTTTATCTATCACCCGAAGAATATCCATCTCTTCGTTCAAAAGCTTTACCCAAACAACAAAATATCTTTCATTCAAAGCAGAATCAGCGTTTGCGTCCTCTAGTGCTGTCAACAGAGCGGTTTTTATGAGATTATTTGCAATCCTATTTTCCTGCTGCAGGTCAATCAAACAATCTAAATAAAGGGTCCACAAAACGGATTTTTTTTCCAGCGATATCTTTGATAAACCTTCTTTATATTTCTCAAAGCAGCTGTTGAGACAAAATTTTGTTGACATTTTTTTTGTAGAATCAACAGATGTTCCATAATGATATCCTGAAATAGATGTAAGGTATTTACTATAAATAATGGTAAAATATCGTGCAGAGTGAGACAAATTGGATACTTTTAAAACGAAAAACTCCCGTTTTCAAACTAGATAGATTAAAACTGAAGGCTGTGTCTGAGGGTCAAATTTTACGACAAATTTAATGGGAAAAACCCCATCGTATCTGAGTTACAGCATGTTTTTCGAAAAACAATTTTTTTCAAATAATAATTACAATAATAATATTAGCAGGGTTGGCCGCTAACACCCTTGGCCTTTGGTGAGTTGCGCCACCACTTACCCGAGCAACTGGTGCAAAACCGGACCGGCAGTCCAGGCGCACCCGGGAAGGAAAACACCATTCTTCCTGTCGTGTCGGCCGTGGGACCACTGGGCTAACCACCCGGTGGACCCAACACTTGGTTCCTAGCAATCGAGGAAGGAGCCCTAGCAATCGAGGAAGGGGCCCCCACAATCGACCCGCTCGGAGGGGTCAGAGGCAAGGTAGTGGGGCCCACAACGATGATTTGCCTACCGATGACAACCCTGGCAATGACAACGGACGCTTTGAGTGGACGCATGAGCTAAGAGATAACCCTATGCATTGCTACGAGAGTAGTGAGCCTGCACGAAGAGGGTACATGGCGAGATTGCATGCTCTGTGGTGTGAAACACATCCGGAGCATGCCGCTTTTTCCGCCCAAAACCTTAGGGATTACGTATCTTATCTTCGGCGGCAGGGCTACTTAGCTCCTTCCTAGCCTGCTAACGAAGTGGTAGAAATGACAGTTCTACCACCCGTTGGCACGGCTGGATAAGAGACTCGCATCATGCCTCCAATGGAGTCGATCAGAACACGTAGGGCGCTCCACCGAATTAGTCCTCTGAAGCCACAAGAACTGGCTTGTTTGGATGCGGAGGTTCATAGTGTTCTAACAGAAGAGGCTGACATCTGGCAAATCAACACCGCCGTGTATACCGTCGTCCAATCGCTTTTCGAATCGGAAGGACGAAATTCCGGCCTTGCGGTTCGAAAGATTAAACGGCGTATACACAAGATGGAGGCTAAGATCACGTCAGCGAGACAACTCGCGTCTCGTATCCAATGTGTGATGGATTACAGGGCGGCCAATAAGCCTTTCACGCCCGCAGTGCAGCGAATAGCCGCCAATCTACGACATATCAATCACACTTCAAGTCAAGGCGTGCTGCTGACCACCAAACAGCACTGCATTGATAGGATACGAATGCTAGTGGCTGCTAAGTAGTCACTAGTGAGGCGAGCCAGAAGTATCGCGGAAATTCTCAAGTTCCGCGAGAAACCTTCTCGCTTATTCCAAGAACCTCCACGTGTTGTGGATAATCCGCCGACCGCTGATCAGGTGGAATCCTTCTGGAAGGATATCACCCGCAGCAACTCAACTTAGACACTCCAACCCTAGCGCAGTTCGAAGCTTTCAACAGAGAGCTTCGACAGCCTGAGCTCAATGAACTGCGCAATCCGATAACCACGGATGACGTTCGAAAAGCCCTTGTGGGTTCCAAGAACTTTGCTGCTCCAGGCCCAGATGGGCTGAACACTTATTGGTGGAAAAAACTACTAAGAACCCACCGGCATCTGGCCAGAGTTTTCAACTCATAGCTGGGCAGAGAGCAGCCGATTCCGCATTGGTTTGTCGAGGGGCGGACCGTTCTTATCCCCAAAAGCGGAGAGTTGTCTATTTCTAAGAATTACAGACCGATAACATGCTTGAATTCGTGTTATTTGTTTACAAGCATCTTATACACACGAATACTCACCGAACTTGACTGAGTGTTCAAACGGATATATAAGCAGAGAGGGTCGAAGAAGGAGTCGCTGGATGTAAAGAGAACCTGCTCATCGATAGATGTGTAACGCAGGACTCGATACAATATAAGCGTAACCTCTCTATGGCCTGGATTGATTACCGTATGGCATTTGATACAATTTCGCATGAGCTCATCTTGCATTTTCTCAGATGCCTTGCGGTACCCGACAAAATAGTGAGATGCATTGAACAACTGAGACCACTTTGGCGAACTCGCTTCACCATAACATCTGATCAAGCAAGAGTCCAAACAGAGTGCGACACTTTCAGAAGGAGTGTATTTCAGGGTGAATCCCTCAGTCCCCTTCTCTTCTGCATCTCACTATTGCCAATCATCCGTTGCGCTCAGAAATACTCGAGGGTATAACTGTGGCACCCCCGGAAACCGGAGGCACAAGGTCACCCATTCGTTTTATATGGATGATCTGAAACGTTATGCCTCCATCAGTCCTGGAGGGTGGCTGCAACAAATATGCTTCCCGTTCCAATCTTACTCTACTCGTTTGGAGTAGTGAAGTGGACTCAGGAAGAGCTGTATCAACTCGACGTAAAGACCCGAAAAATGATGCATCTCTATAGGAGTTTGCATTCCAAATCGTCCGTTCCACGATTGTACTTCCCCCGACAACAGGGAGGCCGTGGACTTTCTAGTTTGGAGTGTTTATATGACAGAATGGTAATAGATATTGTCTGTAAAGTCGTCAGGAGTTCGGATCCCCTTCTATGCATGGCCCGTGACCATGAGAGAGCAGGAATTGAAGCATTTCTCTTTAGGGCAGCTGCCCGAGCAGCTGATGAACTCGGTTTAGTTTTCGACACTGAACGAGGTGACCACAACTCTGTCACCGAGTTGGAGCCCTTTCAGCAAAAGCTCAGATAAAAGCCGCAGAGATCACCTCACTTCTGCGGAAACACAAGGATAAGCCAATGCATAGGGCTTATCAAAGCGTCTGAATTTCGCTTTCCTCAGGTCGAGTGGGTTGAAGTCGGAAACTGAGGCGTTCATCATGATGGATATAAAGGTTCCAGACACAAAGTGCAGGGCCTACCGCGAAGCGCCTGAGCCCCTAATGCACTTGCTGTCAACATGTTCAGCATATGTGGTCTCGGCCTATATCCATCGACATAACGAGGACCTAAGAGTATTATATTACCATCTACGGCTCTCTTACGGTATTGACGAGGCACCGGTGTTGCCCTACGCTCCGGGGGATATTGAATCCGTTGTGGGGAACAAAAAGTGCCAAGATGGTTGTTCTGATTATTGGAGTCCTTAGGGGAATGATGCCCTCTCTACTCTCAAATCTTAAAATCATACCGGCTTGCCGCAATAAGGAGGAAACCTTAGCCGGACAGATGCAGAAGGTTGTCATTCTTGGCTCACTGCGCTTGCTCAGGGCACATGATTCTCGGAGTGGTCCTTGGTTGATGATGCTAACGCGCCCTCCCGAATGTATGAGGGTTCGGGGGATAGGGCCTGACCAGCGCACACTACGGATAATAATAATAATAATAATAATAAGGCAAAATCTACGGCAGTAGATAGTAATAATCTACGGCACTCTTACGGTAATAACGAGACACCGGTGTTGCCCTACGCTC